TTTGAGTTCAACATGTGAGAAGTAGAAAGTACAGGTATTTGAGTTCAACATGTAAGAAGTAGAAAGTACAGGTATTTGAGTTCAACATGTAAGAAGTAGAAAGTACAGGTATTTGAGTTCAACATGTAAGAAGTAGAAAGTACAGGTATTTGAGTTCAACATGTAAGAAGTAGAAAGTACAGGTATTTGTGTTCAACATGTAAGAAGTAGAAAGTACAGGTATTTGAGTTCAACATGTAAGAAGTAGAAAGTACAGGTATTTGAGTTCAACATGTAAGAAGTAGAAAGTACAGGTATTTGAGTTCAACATGTAAGAAGTAGAAAGTACAGGTATTTGAGTTCAACATGTGAGAAGTAGAAAGTACAGGTATTTGTGTTCAACATGTAAGAAGTAGAAAGTACAGGTATTTGTGTTCAACATGTGAGAAGTAGAAAGTACAGGTATTTGTGTTCAACATGTAAGAAGTAGAAAGTACAGGTATTTGAGTTCAACATGTGAGAAGTAGAAAGTACAGGTATTTGTGTTCAACATGTAAGAAGTAGAAAGTACAGGTATTTGAGTTCAACATGTAAGAAGTAGAAAGTACAGGTATTAGTGTTCAACATGTAAGAAGTAGAAAGTACAGGTATTTGAGTTCAACATGTGAGAAGTAGAAAGTACAGGTATTAGTGTTCAACATGTAAGAAGTAGAAAGTACAGGTATTTGAGTTCAACATGTAAGAAGTAGAAAGTACAGGTATTTGAGTTCAACATGTGAGAAGTAGAAAGTACAGGTATTAGTGTTCAACATGTAAGAAGTAGAAAGTACAGGTATTTGAGTTCAACATGTAAGAAGTAGAAAGTACAGGTATTAGTGTTCAACATGTAAGAAGTAGAAAGTACAGGTATTAGTGTTCAACATGTAAGAAGTAGAAGTACAGGTATTTGAGTTCAACATGTGAGAAGTAGAAAGTACAGGTATTTGAGTTCAAACATGTAAGAAGTAGAAAGTACAGGTATTTGTGTTCAACATGTAGAAGTAGAAAGTACAGGTATTTGAGTTCAACATGTAAGAAGTAGAAAGTACAGGTATTTGTGTTCAACATGTAAGAAGTAGAAAGTACAGGTATTTGAGTTCAACATGTAAGAAGTAGAAAGTACAGGTATTTGTGTTCAACATGTAAGAAGTAGAAAGTACAGGTATTTGAGTTCAACATGTAAGAAGTAGAAAGTACAGGTATTTGTGTTCAACATGTAAGAAGTAGAAAGTACAGGTATTTGAGTTCAACATGTAAGAAGTAGAAAGTACAGGTATTAGTGTTCAACATGTAAGAAGTAGAAAGTACAGGTATTTGAGTTCAACATGTAAGAAGTAGAAAGTACAGGTATTAGTGTTCAACATGTAAGAAGTAGAAAGTACAGGTATTTGAGTTCAACATGTAAGAAGTAGAAAGTACAGGTATTTGTGTTCAACATGTAAGAAGTAGAAAGTACAGGTATTTGAGTTCAACATGTAAGAAGTAGAAAGTACAGGTATTTGAGTTCAACATGTAAGAAGTAGAAAGTACAGGTATTTGTGTTCAACATGTAAGAAGTAGAAAGTACAGGTATTTGAGTTCAACATGTAAGAAGTAGAAAGTACAGGTATTAGTGTTCAACATGTGAGAAGTAGAAAGTACAGGTATTTGTGTTCAACATGTGAGAAGTAGAAAGTACAGGTATTTGTGTTCAACATGTGAGAAGTAGAAAGTACAGGTATTTGTATTCAACATGTAAGAAGTAGAAAGTACAGGTATTTGTGTTCAACATGTAAGAAGTAGAAAGTGGTCAGAAAAATAAGTAGTGGAGTAAAGTACTGATAGCAGAAATATTTACTTGAGTACATTACCAAAATATTTGCACTCCTCCCAGCTCTGAACATTCACTCTTTGTTACTGAGCAGTTTAAATAGCAGGTCGTATACAGAGCTGCAGTATTCCTGCTGGACCCTGAAGGCAACGTCTCCATGAGCCTTTGGATGAACTTACATGAGTTCATGATGACCTTTTGATTTCCCTTTGCTCAATACTCAGAAGTGATTGACGTATATAATAATGTCAGCGTGAGCTCGCTCACCTGCAGACTTATATAGCATCTTTCACGCAGCCTTACAGAGTATGACAGAAAATGAGAATAACATCCTTAAAAACAAGGTATAAACAGAAAGAGTGATATCTCTGAACCATAACACATGAACAGTGATACTACTAAAAAATAACAACTGCCCCAAATGATAAGGCAAATGAAGAAGATATGTCTTTAATGTACTTAACATCGTTGCTGTTCTAAGATCAGATGGGAGCAGTAGATGTCGTCAGGGAAGAAATGGTGTTGAACGGCAAACAGAAGCCTTTCAGACGGCTGATGTATCACTGGATATCTTTTTTTATTGTGAACCCCAAGTTTAAAATCTAATCTAACATGAGAACAACTTTAATAGCATGCATGCAAATTAGTCACTTTTCAGCGCCTCCCGCTTTTTTAAAGCTGATTTCGGTGACTTGTGTAATTCGTGGAGAACCGAAGAGTTTTAGTTTTGGGGGGGATCCGACTCACGGACTGATGGACAACTTCTCACTTCAAATTTTTTTTAAGAAATCTAGACCACAAAATAATTAAAAAAGCGAGTGCCTGTTTTTCCTGGCCAAGAACAGGTTCCTTGAACACAACACGAGCGTAACGTGTCATCACGTGGTGCAGTGCTGCCGGAATGCCTCCATCACTTCAGATATTGCAGTACCCATAAGGAGCCGTACACACGCATGTTTGCGTGGCTGTGTCTTTAGTTGTAAGCACAGTGGCGATCTGTTGTTAGCATCTGGTTAGCTAGCTATGCTAACGAACTTAAAGAGCTTTTCTACAACCAGGTGGAAGAGAGCTCTCTCCTGAGAGGCTCACATAACCTCAGCTCAGTGAGGAGGTTAAGGCACACCTTGATATGATCATTATAGTTATTAATGAGACTAAATGAAAAACAGGTATCAAATACTATATGACAGAAACAAAAAAGTTGTTAAAAAGAATCCAGTTTGAAAGGAGAGTGATTTGTAAAATATCCATAAAGAAAGAGAAAATCTGTTTCCAGTTCTGTTTCATCTGGTGTTGAGAGATGTCTCCATAGATCTCCTCATGTTGCTCTCAAGGTGCACCAGATTGATGCTTTCAACTTCAATATTTAAAAAAAAATCTTCCCGGGGGTTACGTCCACCCCTAGAGGAAGTGAGGACCCCCCTAGAGGAGGTGAGGACCCCCCTAGAGGAGGTTAGGTCCCCCTAGAGGAGGTTAGGTCCCCCTAGAAGAGGTGAGGACCCCCCTAGAGGAGGTTAGGTCCCCCTAGTGGAGGTTAGGTCCCCCTAGAAGAGGTGAGGACCCCCCTAGAGGAGGTTAGGTCCCCCTAGAGGAGATGAGGACCCCCCTAGAGGAGGTTAGGTCCCCCTAGAGGAGGTTAGGTCCCCCCTAGAGGAGATGAGGACCTCCCTAGAGGAGGTTAGGTCCCCCTAGAGGAGGTTAGGTCCCCCCTAGAGGAGATGAGGACCCCCCCTAGAGGAGGTTAGTTCCCCCTAGAGGAGATGAGGACCCCCCTAGAGGAGGTTAGTTCCCCCCCCCAAATTAAACCATGTTCACATGGATAGGAAACTAAATCCATTGGCACACATCTTGTGTCCATATCTTTCTGTTTTGGTGGTCACGCCACACCGTGCACGTGCATGCGCGAGTCATGGTGAGAGATCTGGATTCAGAGCAGGGATGGGTATCGTTATGGTTTTAACGGTACTACTACTTTTATCGATACCGCTTATCGGTCTGGTCTTTTAACGGTACTCTTATCGGTTCTTTTGGAGAAAAAAATAAGGTTAACTAACTAAACAAATTGTAAACAAAACTAACATTGCTTTTTATTTAAATTAAATAAATAATATTTCACATCAAAATAAACAACAATGTTTTAACAAATGGTATTAAATAATCTGATGACAGAACTGTGAACAGAATAGCTGAAACTTTAACCAAATAAATAACTCAGTTCCCTCTAATCATTAACCCATGTTTGTATCATGGTGTTAACTCCGTGTGGTGCTGCTAGCATACATAACACCTGACGTGGAAACGTTACTCGTGGATGGGGCTACAGAGCTGCTAGAAAGACAGTGGAACCCGGTGCATTCCTCCGTCTGGATGTGGAGCACTTTTGCTAAATGTTTAGACACATTGCTCGTGTTCCCGCCCTCACATGCTGAACTCTGATTGGGCTTTAGGCAACGAGCATCGAGACGGGTAAAGTTTAACCACCTCGGAGCGCGTTCTCTGCGCCATCTCCTCCGTGTGTGTGTGTTGCATGTAGCAGCCGCGTGTGTGTAAACTGCCCCGCCCCCTCCCAAGCAGGCGGGGGAGAGAGATCGAAAATACTAAAAATAATCATAGACGCATTCTGCAGTCTTTTTGCGAATTAGAAACGGAGTTGGCGAAACTAAAACTGCAATATAATGTTTGTGTAGCAATAATACACATCTATATTTAACATGTCTCCAGTACCGATAAAAAAACGATAACGTCGGAGCATAACGGTACCACTGTCTTTAATAATTCAGCCCCGGGGCCCGTTTGATACCGGGGCTCGGTACCCAGCCCTAATTAAGAGGTTGCTTGTTCTTTGCACAGCATGAAAGAAAGGCCAAATGAATGGGCTGTGATTTGAGTTTTTTTAAGCAGAGTTCAATCATTTGTACGGCCCTCGGAGGATGTTCCCCCCCCTGCTGTAGATAATAATAAAAACCCTTGATTTATAACTTGACATCTCTGTCTCTATTGATCAGAGTATATGATACAGTTCATTGAAGCATTAAAGCGCAGGCCTTTGTCAGATGGTTTATTACGGTGTTTCTCTCTGCTTCAAATAGTTCTCTCTTTTTTCACGTGTGTTTGCATCCCTGTAATAAAGCCAGCTCCCAACAGTGATCTGATCGTGTGTGTTCGTCCTCAGGAAGACCAACCAGCTGCAGTACATGCAGAATGTGGTGGTGAAGACGCTGTGGAAGCATCAGTTCGCCTGGCCCTTCTACCTGCCGGTGGATGCCATCAAACTCTGCCTGGCTGTAAGTGCCTCACAATCAATCAAAGGTTCATGGTGTTGATCTGTGACGCTCCGCTCTGGGGATTCTTTAAAGGTTTCCAGAGTGAGCGTTACTATTGCCAGACCTGATTCAGATGTGACACTTTGAAGCTGTATGAGCTCTTTTCCTGTTTCCAGTGTCTAAGCTAACCCCTCCATATTCCAGGACTATCACAAGGTGATCAAGAACCCGATGGACATGGGAACCATCAAGAAACGTCTGGAGAACAACTACTACTGGAGCGCCAGTGAAGCCATGCAGGACTTCAACACCATGTTCACCAACTGCTACATCTACAACAAGGTACACACACACACACACACACACACACTACTGCTAATTCTACAACAAGGTACACACACACACACACTACTGCTAATTCTACAACAAGGTACACACACACACACACTACTGATAATTCTACAACAAGGTACACACACACACACTCTACTGCTACATCTACAACAAGGCACACACACACACGCACACACACACTACTGCTAATTCTACAACAAGGTACACACACACACTCTACTGCTACATCTACAACAAGGCACACACACACACACACACACACACACACACTACTGCTAATTCTACAACAAGGTACACACACACACACACACACTCTACTGCTACATCTACAACAAGGCACACACACACACACACACACACACACACACACACTCTACTGCTACATCTACAACAAGGTACACACACACACACACACACACACACACACACTACTGCTAATTCTACAACAAGGTACACACACACACACTACTGATAATTCTACAACAAGGTACACACACACACACACTACTGATAATTCTACAACAAGGTACACACACACACTCTACTGCTACATCTACAACAAGGCACACACACACACGCACACACACACTACTGCTAATTCTACAACAAGGTACACACACACACTCTACTGCTACATCTACAACAAGGCACACACACACACACACACACACACACACACTACTGCTAATTCTACAACAAGGTACACACACACACACACACACACTCTACTGCTACATCTACAACAAGGCACACACACACACACACACACACACACTACTGCTAATTCTACAACAAGGTACACACACACACACACACACACTCTACTGCTACATCTACAACAAGGCACACACACACACACACACACACACACACACGCACACACACACACTACTGCTACATCTACAACAAGACACACACACACACTCTACTGCTACATCTACAACAAGGCACACACACACACACACACACACACACACACTACTGCTACATCTACAACAAGGCACACACACACACACACACACACTCTACTGCTACATCTACAGCAAGGTACACACACACTACTGCTACAACAAGGTACACACACTACTGCTACAACAAGGTACACACACTACTGCTATCAATCAATCAACAACTTTATTAATCCCGCAAGGGGCAATTGGTTATAGCTACAACAAGACACACACACACACAAAACAATGTACACACACTACTGCTACAACAAGGTACACACACTACTGCTACATCTACAACCAGGTACACACACACACACACTCTACTGCTACATCTACACAGCGGGTGATTTATTTTTACCCCACGGCTGTGTTGTCATTATTCTTTATTTACCCTCGGCTGTGTGTTTTGTGTTTCAGCCCACAGACGACATCGTCCTCATGGCTCAGGCTCTGGAGAAGATCTTCCTGCAGAAAGTGGCTCAAATGCCTCAAGAAGAAGTGGCTCTGCTGCCCCCAGCCCCTAAAGGCAAGACCAAGAGCAAACTGCCTGCCACCGCTACTACAGGTGAGTACTGCACAATGCAGTGCTGAAGAGCACTGCAGAAATGCAGTACGGACCAGAGTACAGAGCAGTGGAACGCAGTGTTAATGGAACGCGGTGTTAATGGAACGCAGTGTTAATGGAACGCGGAGTTAATGGAACGCGGTGTTAATGGAACGCGGTGTTAATGGAACGCGGAGTTAATGGAACGCGGTGTTAATGGAACGCGGTGTTAACGGAACGCGGTGTTAACGGAACGCGGTGTTAACGGAACGCGGAGTTAATGGAACGCGGTGTTAATGGAACGCGGTGTTAACGGAACGCGGAGTTAATGGAACGCGGAGTTAATGGAACGCGGTGTTAATGGAACGCGGTGTTAACGGAACGCGGAGTTAATGGAACGCGGTGTTATTGGAACGCGGAGTTAATGGAACGCAGTGTTAATGGAACGCGGAGTTAATGGAACGCGGTGTTAATGGAACGCGGAGTTAATGGAACGCGGTGTTAATGGAACGCGGAGTTAATGGAACGCGGTGTTAATGGAACGCGGAGTTAATGGAACGCGGTGTTAATGGAACGTGGAGTTAATGGGTGGCGGTGTTAATGAAACACGGAGTTAATGGAACGCGGTGTTAGTGAAACGCGGTGTTAGTGAAACGCGGTGTTAGTGAAACGCAGTGTTAATGAAACGCGGTGTTAGTGAAACGCAGTGTTAATGGAACACAGTGTTAATGGAACACAGTGTTAATGGAACGCGGTGTTAGTGAAACGCAGTGTTAATGGAACGCAGTGTTAATGGAACGCAGTGTTAATGAAACGCAGTGTTAGTGAAACGCAGTGGTAATGGAACGCAGTGTTAATGAAACGCAGTGTTAATGGAACGCGGTGTTAATGGAACGCTGTGCAGTGTTGATGGAACGCGGTGTTAATGGAACGCGGAGTTAATGGAACGCGGAGTTAATGGAACGCGGTGTTAATGGAACGCGGAGTTAATGGAACGCGGTGTTAATGGAACGCGGAGTTAATGGAACGCGGTGTTAATGGAACGCGGAGTTAATGGAACGCGGTGTTAGTGAAACGCGGTGTTAGTGAAACGCAGTGGTAATGGAACGCAGTGTTAATGAAACGCGGTGTTAGTGAAACGCAGTGTTAATGGAACGCGGTGTTAATGGAACGCGGTGTTAGTGAAACGCAGTGTTAATGGAACGCAGTGTTAATGGAACACAGTGTTAATGGAACGCAGTGTTAATGGAACGCTGTGTTAGTGGAACGCGGTGTTAGTGAAACGCAGTGTTAGTGAAACGCAGTGGTAATGAAACGCGGTGTTAGTGAAACGCGGTGTTAATGGAACACAGTGTTAATGGAACGCGGTGTTAGTGAAACGCAGTGTTAATGGAACGCAGTGTTAATGGAACGCAGTGTTAATGAAACGCAGTGTTAATGAAACGCAGTGTTAATGGAACGCGGTGTTAATGGAACGCTGTGCAGTGTTAATGGAACGTGGTGTTAATGGAACGCTGTGCAGTGTTAATGGAACGCGGTGCAGTCAAATCAAATCAAGTTTTATTTATATAGCACATTTATAAACGATTTTTGGTCGAGCCAAAGTGCTGTACATATAATAAAATTAGCCTACAGTGGAGACACTTTACAGCAAATACAACAGCACAGATTGTTCAGAATATCAGTATGAGAAATAAAAATGACACCCTCTATCCTTAGACCCTCACATCGTACAAGGAAAAACTTCCAGAGAAAACCCACAGTTTAAGGGAAAATTGGAGAAACCTCAGGGAGAGCAACAGAGGAGGGATCCCTCTCCCAGGACGGACAGACGTGCAATAGATGCCGTGTGTAAATCGAAGAGATAATACATTTTACAGCATATAGACCGAATGTTAGGAAATGCATGTGTCTGTAATAAGAGGATGAATCCACGAGGATGTCAGCTACAATCCTGTGGAAGCCATCAGGGAAGCAGCATGGCGAGACCCAAGGCAGGACCGCAGAGACAGGTTCAGCCACGACCCGAAGTCCACGACTTAATCCAGAACTCAGGATAGAGGATCCAGGACACAGGACTACAGCAAGAGGATCAGCCTCGACTCCGGATCCCGACGTAGATATAGATACAAAACAAGAACAAAGATTTAGCTGGGTTAATCGGAACTAGAGAATACACAGACACAGACAGAGAGGGGAAAGGTCATTGGATAAAAGTTATTCTTGATAACCCTCTAGAAAGATCTCATGAACTTCCCCACTCAATCTATCAAGACCCGAGCAGTTCTATTAGAAGTCCAAGGTAAAGGCACAGGCCGGCGCATACCGCTCATGGAATCCCTCACCAAATGAACTCTAACCCCTCAAGTGTACAAGTGAAGGGACACCGTGTGTCAGCTCCTTTTAGAATATAATTTCTTCTCTTCTCAGAGAAACAAGGGTATGAAAAGAGCAGCCAGAAACAGAGGAAGAGAGGCACAACGTGACTACGTAAATGCACTCTCCTAAATATTAAACGAGTTAGAGGTGAAGAAACACAAAGCCAGAAATTGAAAAGAAAAGGCACCATCATGCTTCCCCTTAGAATAGGGTGGAAATTATGAAGACCCAAATTAGGAAGAGGGGACACGGGATACTAGTGAAGAGGGACAACAGTGAAAAAGCCCAACGTATCCAACATACTAGCACTCTCCAAAGAGACAGAAAGTCAAAGTATACGCCGAGAGGCACAACGTGACTACGAAAATGCACTCTCCTGTATAAATTAGTTAAAGGGAAAGGGGGTGAAAAACTAAACTAATCAAAAGAAGGAAGTAGAGAGGCCTAAGTGCCCTCTCCTAACAGTGCAGTGTTAATGGAACGCGATGAAGGCATCGCAGTGTTAATGGAACGCGGTGTTAATGGAACGCGGTGCAGTGTTAATGGAACGCGGTACAGTGTTAATGGAACGCGGTGCAGTGTTAATGGAACGCGGTGTTAATGGAACGCGGTGCAGTGTTAATGGAACGCAGTGTTAATGGAACGCGGTGTTAATGGAATGCGGTGTTAATGGAATGCGGTGCAGTGTTAATGGAACGCGGTACAGTGTTAATGGAACGCGGTGTTAATGGAACGCGATACAGTGTTAATGGAACGCGGTGTTAATGGAACGCAGTTTAGTGTTAATGGAACGCGGTGCAGTGTTAATGGAACGCGGTGTTAATGGAACGCGGTACAGTGTTAATGGAACGCGGTGTTAATGGAACGCGGTGCAGTGTTAAGGGAACGCGGTACAGTGTTAATGGAACGCGGTGCAGTGTTAAGGGAACGCGGTACAGTGTTAATGGAACGCGGTACAGTGTTAATGGAACGCGGTGCAGTGTTAAGGGAACGCGGTACAGTGTTAATGGAACGCGGTGCAGTGTTAATGGAATGCGGTGTTAATGGAACGCGGTGCAGTGTTAATGGAACGCGGTACAGTGTTAATGGAACGCGGTGCAGTGTTAATGGAACGCGGTGTTAATGGAACGCGGTGCAGTGTTAATGGAACGCAGTGTTAATGGAACGCGGTGTTAATGGAATGCGGTGCAGTGTTAAAGGAACGCGGTACAGTGTTCATGGAACGCGGTGTTAATGGAACGCGATACAGTGTTAATGGAACGCGGTGTTAATGGAACGCAGTTTAGTGTTAATGGAACGCGGTGTTAATGGAACGCGGTGCAGTGTTAATGGAACGCGGTGTTAATGGAACACGGTACAGTGTTAATGGAACGCGGTGTTAATGGAACGCGGTGCAGTGTTAAGGGAACGCGGTACAGTGTTAATGGAACGCGGTGCAGTGTTAAGGGAACGCGGTACAGTGTTAATGGAACGCGGTACAGTGTTAATGGAACGCGGTGCAGTGTTAATGGAACGCGGTGTTAATGGAACGCGGTGCAGTGTTAATGGAACGCGGTACAGTGTTAATGGAACGCGGTGCAGTGTTAATGGAACGCGGTGTTAATGGAACGCGGTGTTAATGGAACGCGGTGTTAATGGAACGCGGTGCAGTGTTAAGGGAACGCGGTACAGTGTTAATGGAACGCGGTGCAGTGTTAAGGGAACGCGGTACAGTGTTAATGGAACGCGGTGTTAATGGAACGCGGTACAGTGTTAATGGAAGGCGGTGCAGTGTTAATGGAACGCGGTGTTAATGGAACGCGGTGCAGTGTTAATGGAACGCGGTGCAGTGTTAATGGAACGCGGTACAGTGTTAATGGAACGCGGTGCAGTGTTAATGGAACGCGGTGCAGTGTTAATGGAACGCGGTGCAGTGTTAATGGAACGCGATGAAGGCATCGCAGTGTTAATGGAACGCGGTGCAGTGTTAATGGAACGCGATGAAGGCATCGCAGTGTTAATGGAACGCGGTGCAGTGTTAATGGAACGCGGTGCAGTGTTAATGAAACGCGATGAAGGCATCGCAGTGTTAATGGAACGCGGTGAAGTGTTAATGGAACGTTGTGCAGTTTTAACCTGTTAAGCACCATCCCCCCGCCCCCGGAAGGAAAAACGCATCATCTGCAGGAAACAGTGTCTGAGGGCTTCTTAATATTTAATTAACTATGAATGTTTCATATCCATGTAACAGGAAGAAACTCAGCTAACTGATGATATGAACCATTTTTAGCAAAAAAAACACAAGGCTAACGCTGAGCCTCTGAATTAGTCCTGAGCGAAAAAATGCTAACGCCTTTAGCACAGAAAACACGGTATAACACCCTTATTACTTATCGTAAATGCAAATCCAACCCATCGATTAGCATCGTGACAACACAGAATCGATAGGTATATATATCATCACTCCATGATAAGAACTTGCGACTTTATAAACAAAAACAGACATCACAACACGTGGCGCTAGTTAGCCAAAACGGCAATATGTCTTACCTCTGTTGTTTTCTGGTAAAAAGTGGTCTTCAATGGCATTAAAACGATAAAAACGCTGCTGGAGTTAATCCATAGGTTAATCCAATGTGTCTGTGTCCCTTTGAATGATTTCT